AAAAAAAAAAAAAAAAAAAAAAAAAAGTCTGTCAAATATTTGTCACATATTTGCGGAGATAACACTTAGAATCCTATTTGCTATTCTGAAATATACATTACTATTAACCATAGTATTTTGCTGTGAGATAGAACACTCGGGTTTCTTTCTTCTGTGGTTTTGTACACAGCATCTCCTTTTCCCATTCACACTGTCCCACAACCCTCTGGTGGTTACCGTTCTACTCTGTCCTTCTGTCACTTCTCCTATTTTAGATTCCACATATGAGACCATATGGTGTTTGTCTCTCTGTGCCTAGCTTATCTCTAGTGTCCCCTAGATTCATCCATGCTTTCACAAATAATAGAATATCCTGAATTTTTTTAAGGCTGGATAGTGTTCTGTTTTGTTTATATGGTAAATGTTTAAATTTTTAAAAATATATTACACTAAAAGACACATTGTCATTGATCCCACTCAAAAGCTCCCTCTCTCCTCAGATACACTTAGCCCATCATTTTGGCTAAGGAAAGGTAGGCATGTAAAAACACTGTGGTGTATCTTCATCCCCCTTGTTCACCATCTAACTTCTGGCTTTTCCGCAGAGTCAAAATGACCATGATGAAAGTAAACATTGTGAGTCAATTCAAGACATCAGAGCAGCCACAACACTGAAAGTAAATTTTAATGGTAAATGCTTACTGATCACATGGGTGTGCAAGGTTGCTGTACAGTGGTACTTTGGATCACAAGCAATTTGTTCCACAATTCTGGAGAAGATGGCCACATTCATGTTTGTGTGAGGAAGGTGGCTGTGTTTGTGTTTGTGACCCAATGTAGAATTGGCAAACAAGTAAAATGTTGCCAATGCTTCTTTGTGAACCAAATTGCTCACAGAACAGAAAAGACAGGCTTAGACAGTGGAAGTCAGTTGCTCCAAATCTTCAGATTGATAAATGAGGGACTTAACCAGGATTTAACTGTGGACTGTGATTCCAGGGCTCAGTCTGCTAACCATTTGACTCCAGCCTCACATTTCACCTTCATGGCAGGAGCATTGTTTCCATTAAAAATGGAAGAACTAGGTTAAGTGTGTGGATTAAGTCCCATCATCTACACAGATGGTCGTTACCACTCAGCGCTCAAGTGTTTGCAGGCTTCACCTGATGCACTCTCACTGTTTGACTTGCAGTAAATATTCTCTTCTTTTTCACTATGAGAGCAATGTCATTTTTCAGTTTCCACAGGCTGCTTTCAAATAGGTCCCCAAAGTCCTTTAACATCTCTGATTGTTGGTGTACGAAAGGCCGAAGCATTTGATCATCTTCCTAAAAAATAAGTGAAAGGAAAAATGATAATAGCAGGCCTCATCTCATTGGAGTGAGAAATGTATTGTGAAGTGGGGTGTGCTGTAAGTTTTCCTTTTTGTCTAGAAAACTGTACTTAGAAGTGGCTGGTAGCATTAGTTACATAGGAGCAACCTGGTTTCTAGAAGACTGCCTGGATGCCAGAAACTGATGAAATAATCCAAATGCTTCAGACTCAGTGTTGCATATTCTTTCAGTACTACCAAAGTTCTCAGGTTTGCAGAGGAAGTCAGGAGAGTGGGTTCTCTGATGTATTCCTCACCCCATGAAAATAGGTTACTCCAAGAGGAGAATTGCTGCTGGTCAGGGGCCACTTGGAGAACCTCTCCCTGAGGGTACTGCAGCCTAATTCTCCACAGAACCAATGGAGAAGGGAGTTGAATTGCAGGGTCCTAGGTATAGTATTTTCAATCTATATTGGGTAAGTACTCAACAGTTTTTAAGTGGTTGTACTGATAATATACCTGTAGCTGTGTATGAGAGTTTCCATTGTTTTATATCTTCTCCAAGTGTTTGTTGTTTTTTGTTTTTTTTTTCAAATTGTTTGTCTTCAGTATTGGGGATCAAACTCAAGACCTTGAGCTTGCCAGGCAGGCACTTATGCCACTAAGCTATATCCCTGGCCCCTCCAATTCTTTTTTTTTTTTAAAAAAAAAAAAAAAAAAAAAAAAAAATGTTCTTTATTATCTAGTCCTTTACATTCACTTTTTAAAATTTCTTTTATGTATTCATTTGGTACAGGGTATTGCTACGCAGCTCAGACTCATAGTGATCCTCCTGTCTCAGCCTCCCCAGCACTGGGATTACAGGCATGCGCCACCACACCTGGTTTTGTTGGCTGGCTCAGCACAAGGCCGACACGGCATGGGGATCAAACCCAGCTCCTTGCACTTGCCAGGCAAGGTGCTTATACCGCCGCGCTATCTCCAAGGCTGAACATTCAGTTTTAAATCATTAAATGAAAAATTTATATATATTTTCCAATCCTTAAATTTTTAATTCAAAGTATATTTAATTGCATACTGAGTATATATATATATATATATGCAACAATAATTTTTTACGACACTCCCTACAGATATTTGTGCAATTCACACAATACAGAAAGGCATCAGTGAGAATTGAGATACACGTGCAAAAAGAACAGGAAGTAAGTAATAATCAGTGATCCTTAATTTAAATGAAACAGAAGCTTATGGTCTAATTTCTAACTTAAAAGGTATAAATGCAGTTAATTATATTTTATGCAATTTTTCAGCCTTCAGTATTACTTTATAATAAAGCTAATTTCATTTATTCAGCAAATAGACTTTAGAAAAATAATCTGTGCTGTTTTCTGAATTCAAAATTCCGTATCAAAATTCCTTTTATAAAGTTGTTTAACATAACAGATAACACACCAACGTAATACACAGGCTCTGACCAATGTACAGAATTCCCCAGCTGTAATGAGAAAAGAATATCAATGTCGCGGGTTAATCATAGGACCAAAAGTAATTTGGACAGTGCGTATCATGAGCAGTTTTCACTAGTTTCACAGCAAATTTTACCATAAAGACATTCATTGACTGACTGAGATGCACACAGGTATTTATTGACAAATTAATGAGTGGGTACCCAAACCCAAAGAACTCAGTTCATCCCACAGGCTAGTCAAAACACCCCTTTCTCTGCCAGCTTGTTTAAATGCTAATCTTAAATCATAGCAGATACTTGTAAGAACTAATAAAACCTGAAGCTTGCTAAATGGTCTCATTGAGGCACTTCTCTATGAACACTACTACTGACATTTACTATAAGTGGCGATTTCCCTGAATTATCCTGTTAATCACTTAGACTTAGTCATTCACTTGGACGTTATCACCGTCTCTGGTACAGCATCCCGAAAGTAGTTCTTTCCTGCCTGTGGAAAGTGTAACCATGCTTCTCTAGTTCTTCTTTTCTTTTCTTTCTTTCTTTTTTTTTTTCTTTTTGTACCAGGGATCAAACCTTGCGCTTGCTAGGCAGGTGCCTATGCTGCTGAGCTATCCTCCCAGCCCATTCTCCAAGTCTTGGTGTTGCCACTTTTTAATTTTTGCCCATATGAATGGCTTATAATGATGTCTCATTGTATTTCCCAAATTATTCATGAACTTAAGCACGTTTTCTTATATCTGTTGCCTTTTTTTGATTGTTTCATTTGTAAAGTTCCTGTTCATACCACTTGAGCAGTTTTTTCTGTTGGGTTGTCTAGCTCTGTTTTCCATTGATAGTTCTTTATTTAGATATCAGTTTATCATATGGTAAATGTGTTGCAAATAATTTTCTCCATCCCTTTTGGCACTCATTTTGATGTCTTTTGATGGATCAGAGTTCACAGTTTTTATGTGGGTGGATTTCTTTTCTGAAAGTTAGTTTTTGTTATTGTTTTTTTTTTTTGTTTTGTTTTTTGTTTTTTTTTGTCATGTATTAGAAGCCTTTTCCACTGTGAGGTCACGAAGACAGTCTCGTAAAATACCTTCTAAAAGTGATAGAGTTTGCCAGATGTGGTGGAGCAGGCCTGTAATCCCAGTACTCAGGAGACTGGACTGCAAATAGGACATAGTTCAAGACCAGCCTAAACTATATAGCAAGACTCTGAGAACAGAACCAGAAAAAAGTGTTAGTGTTGTCTTTCATGCATAGTTCTTTAATTCTCATGTAAAATTGATTTCTAAATATATAGCTTTAGAATTGAATTTAGTTTCACTTTCCCCATGTCAGCTTTCTGTTATTGTGACAAATGCCTGAGTTAAACAATTTAGGAGGATAAAAGGCTTATTTTTGTCGCATCGCTTTGGACCCACTGCAACACTGTACATCATGGTGGCAGGAGTGCATGGCCGAGCAAGACTGTTCACCTCGTGGTGACCAGAAAGAGGGAGGACGCAGGGCAGTGTAGAGAGAGACATTTCCACTGCTGACACATTTCCACTCTATGGAAACATCCACATTGCCACACACCTCTGCTCCACTTTGGTCACATCAAGTCTCTAGTCCAGAACGATCTATTTCTTGGCTTTATATTCTTTTTCCTCATTGTCTATAGATGGGTCAGTACCTTAAAATAAGTTGATAGCAAGCAGGACAAGTCCTTCTGCCATGTTCTTCCATCCTGATCTTTGCTTTTGCAATTTCATGTGAACTATTGGGCATTTGGTCAGTTTCCATTTCATTTGCTTAGAATGCCCCTGAATCCTGGGGAGAAGTGTCAGATTCACCATAGCAAATCTTCCAAGCCATGGAAACATGGCATATTTCTCTATTGTGGAGGCGTCTCCTTTAACATCTCTCAGACAAGTTTTAAAGTTTCTTTCATAGAAGTCCTGCATATTTTATGTTTTAAGTATTTCATATATTTGATACAATGATCATTGGCATATTTTATTTAAAATGATTTTTACTGCGATTGTAGTCACATGCAGTTAACTTTTGTATATTTAGTACAGGATCTACAGGGTCTCGCTATACAGATCGGATTCTTCCCACTGCCCTGCGTCCCCCCCTCTTCTTGGTCACCACGAGGTGAATAGTCTTCCTTGGCCTTGCACTCCTGCCACCATGATGTACAGTGCCCCAGCGGGTCCAAAGCAGTGAGACAAAACAGACTCCTGTTTTTTAGCCTTCCAAGTGCTGGGATTACAGGCATGCACCACCATGCCCAGTCTCATTTGCCGTCTCAGCACACCCCGGGGCAGGGCCAGCATGGAACAATTAACTTTTAAATATTGATTTTTAATCCAAAGCTTTGTAAATCTGTTAATGTATATATAAACTCTCCTAGATCCCCAAGTACATGCGTATGTCCTCTGGGACACGCTGTGGTGGGCGCCGAGCAGTGCAGTGCAGCTGGGGCGCACGCTGCAGAGCTTCACTGGCTGGCTGGGATCAAGGCCCTGCAGTTTGCTAAGAACACGCACTCTTAGGCAAGTTCACCAACCCCACCTGGGCCTTCCACCCACTGACTGTGAAATAGGATCCATATAGTGCCTACCTCAGGGTGGTTGTGAGACTTGAGTCACTAAATGTAATGTGCTTAGTGTTAGGTATCCATAGGACATCACTGAAATTCCTTTTTTCCCTTCCCAGTCCTTCCATTTCTATGTCTTGTCCTGCTACACTGGATAGAACCTAAAGTGCTTGGCCAGTATCCCTAAGGTTTTCCTCATGTGAAAAAAACCTTTTCAGTCATTTAGTGTTGAGCAGTATGTTTGCTGTTTGCCTAAGATTGTCCTTATCAGATTGAAGAATGTCTATTTTATTTTTAGTTTGCCTATTTTTTGCACATGTTGCTCTGTATACTTTTTGACATAGTCAGACTTTTTCTCCTGTAAATGTCTCACTTT